ACCTTGTTAAATCATTTTACTCATCTATAAGATGGAGTTATGATATCCGTCCCCAGAATTGTGTGGATTAAATGAAATAGTATAGTCATATAGTTCCTAGTACATGTGATAAAAGTTGTTTGGAATGGTTTTTTTAAGATACCAAAGGTAATTTAGAGTGGCAAATACTATCATCTGCCTGTATTCATTTCCTATGTATGCCAGGCACTGTCCTGAATAGCAGGGTTGCAACAGACGCAGTTCTTATCCTTAAAGAAATGGTATTTTGAAGGTAAATTAACTAAGCCCAGATTGGATTTACAGACTTTATAACTGTCAAAAAGTTTCATAAACTCAGCTGTGGCTTGATGTTTGGATATGCTTATGTTAAATTTTATATTAAGATCAGTTAATTGATGTTGTTAACACACCAAGATTATGTATTCTAAAAGACCTGGCTTTCAAAACATTTTAAGAAGCTCTTTACAAATTCTAGAATGATTTGGTCAAGTAGTATCTGGGATGCAATCAAGTTACAGAGACCTTTGCTTTGCAAATTTTAATCAACCAGCAAATCATCAAAATTCATTTGAAAACCCTGGAAAATTCTTCTTTTAAGTAGTTGATAAAATATAAACAATTGGAACTCTGAAGGAAAGACAGCTATGATTATTCTGGAGCTGCAATCTAAAAATCTAAGTTTGCAAATGCCATGTTCATCAGTTGTTTGGTAAAGTACTGACAAAAATACATCTTATAAAAATGAAATTATTTGGTATTGAAAAAATAGAATCTATTGAGGGGCGCCTGGGTGGCTCAGTCGTTAAGCGTCTGCCTTCAGCTCAGGTCATGATCCCGGGGTCCTGGGATCGAGTCCCACATCGGGCTCCCTGCTCGGTGGGAAGCCTGCTTCTCCCTCTCCCACTCCCTCTGCTTGTGTTCCCTCTCTCACTTTGTCTCTCTCTGTCCAATAAATAAATAAAATCTTTAAAAAAAAAGAATATATTGATATTTCTCTCCCTCCCTCTCTCTCTTGATCTTACTCTTTCTCCTTTTTTTTGTTTCTCTGCTTCTGCAGTTAATGACTTAGGTTTATGATTTCCAAGAAAGAGTTTGTTCGTTCACCCTTCTTTTCTAAAACATTTTATTGCCTATATTAGTTCAAAATGCATACTAGAATGGTACAGAGACAATTGGATATTTACATGCAAAAGAATGAAGTTGGGCCCCTACCTCATACCATATACAAAAATTAATTTAAAATGATCAAACACCTAAATGTAACAGCAAAAGCTATAAAGCACTCACAAGAAACCATAGTAGTAAATCTTTATGATGTTGGATTAGTTTCTTGGGTATGAAACCGAAAGCCCAAGCAACAAAAGAAAAAAACAGATAAATTGGATTTTATCAAAATTAAAAACTTTCTTGCTTCAAAAGATACTATCAAGAAAGTGAAAGACAACCCACAGGATGGGAAAACATATCTGCAAATCATGTACCTGGTGAGAGACTTTTATCTAGAATACAGAAAAACTCTTCCAATAAAGACAAAGACAAAATAAAAAGAACAATACAAAGACAACCCATTTTAAAAATGAGCAAAGGGTCTCTGAATAGACAGACATTTCTCTGAGAAGATACACAGATGACCGTAAGTACATGAAAAGATGCTTCACATCTTTAGTCATTAAGGAAATACAAACCAATACTACAGTGAGATACTACTTCACACCCACTAGGATGGCTAGAATCAAAAAGGCAGACTTCAGTATTTTTCAGGATGTGGAGAAATGTTAACCCTCTTACCCTGGTGGTGGGATTGTCAAATGAGGCAGCTGCTTTGGAAAACAGTCTGGCATTTTCCCAAATGGTTAAATATAGCATTATTTTATGACCAAGCAATTTCAGTCCTAAGTATATACCCAAGAGAAATGAAAGCATGTTTACACAAAAACTTGTACACTAATGTTTAAAGGAACATTATTCATATTAGGCAAAAAATTGAAATAACTCAAAGGTCTGTAGGCTGACAAATGGATAAAGTGTGGTATATCCATACAATAGGATGTTATTTGTTCATAAGTAGGAATGAAGTACTGATACATGTTACACCATGGATGAACCTTGAAAACATTATGCTAAGTGAAAGAAGCCAGACACAAAAGGCTACATATTATATGGTTCTGTTTATATTAAATGTTCAGAATAGGCCAATCTACATAGACAATGGAATAGTAATTGGAATAAGGGGTAAGGGAGCAATGGTTAAAGAATATGGGGTTTCTTTTGGAGGTAATTAAAATGTTCTGAAATTGATTGTAGTGATAGTGGCACATATTTGTGAATATACGGTATCATTGAACTGTACACTTTAAATGGGTGAATTTTATGGTGTATGTAAGCTGTATCTCAGTAAAGCTATTACCAAAACAGTTACTAGAAGAATAAACGGATTTTTGCAAGGTTATTTACCAAATAGTGTACCTCCAAGCTACAAACTCGAAGATCTGTATGATAGCCAAAACCACTGAATTGTACACTTTAAAATGATTAAGATGGCAGAGTTTATGTAATGTTATGTAATGTGAATTTTATCTCATTTTTTAGAATATTTATTTATTTGAGAGAGAGAGCAAGCGAGCAGGGGAGAGGGAGATAATTTCAAGCAGACCGCCCGCTGCATGTGGAACCCAATGTGGGGCTCAGTCTCACAACCCTGAGATCATGACCTGAACCGAAATCCAAAGTCAGACGCTTAACCAGCTAAGCCACCCAGTGCCCTAGTTTTATCTCATTTTTTAATAATCTGTATGCTTAAAAATCTGAGGAATACAAAATAAATTCAGTAATGAGAGCTCAAGTGAAACAAGTCAGAGCTTAGGTCATTTTTTTCTAAGCTCCACGCCCAACATAGGCTTGAACTCACAACCCTGAGATTAAGAGTCTCGTGCTCTACCAACGGAGCCAACCAGGTGCCCGCAGAGCTCAGATCAATTTTGATACCAACTCCCGCAGCGGAGAATCCAGAGAGTGGTCGGAATTGCATTCCAGCAGGATTCAGTGAGCACCACTTGTAAAGTCCCACAGAAGGCCATGAAGTGAGGGTTGAAATTTATCAAATAATCAAAATCTTCTTAGTGGAACCTTCAGATGTTGAAGGAAGAGACCACCTCTCTATTATGTGGAACAAGGAAGCTGAATTTACTACTTGCTGAGCAAAAGAGAATCATACTTATAAATACAGTCTCTCTGACCAAACAAAACTAATAGATTGGGTTTTGGAAAGTGTGGATTTCAGGGACTGGCAGATTTTCAAAACTGCAGATGTCTTATGGGTGGGCTCAGTTGCAGCTGTGCTATCTAGAGATTGGTGGACTGTGGGAAGCAGGGGCGGGAGCCTGACCAGTGGTGATGGCTGGAGTGAGGCTGTCACTGCCCAGCTGCCTTGCAGAGGCTCCGCTGCTGGCTCGGGACAGGTGTAGACTGCTTCTGTGCTTACCTGCTCATGCCTTGGAACACGAGTCACAGAACAAGCAGTCTTTCCGTTTCTGGAATTTGGAGACTAGGAACTTTTTTTTTTCCCTTTAAATTTTTTATTGTTATGTTAATCACCATACATTACATCATTAGTTTTTGATGTAGAGTTCCATGATTCATTGTTTGTGTATAACACCCAGTGCTCCACGCAGAACGTGCCCTCTTTAATACCCATTACCAGGCTAACACATCCCCCCACCCCCCTCCCCTATAGAACCCTCAGTTTGTTTTTCAGAGTCCATCATCTCTCATGGTTCGTCTCCCCCTCCGATTTCCCCCCCTTCATTCTTCCCCTCCTGCTATCTTCTTCTTTTTTTTTCCTTAACATGTATTGCATTATTTGTTTCAGAGGTACAGATCTGTGATTCAACAGTCTTGCACACTTCACAGTGCTCACCATAGCACATACCTTCCCCAGTGTCTATCACCCAGCCACCCCATCCCCCCCACCCACCAGCAACCCTCAGTTTGTTTCCTGAGATTAAGAAATCTTCATATCAGTGAGGTCATATGATACATGTCTTTCTCTGATTGACTTATTTCACTCAGCATAACACTCCAGTTCCATCCACATTGTTGCAAATGGTAAGATCTCATTCCTTTTGATGGCTGCATAATATTACATTGTATATATATATATACCACACCTTCTTTATCCATTCATCTGTCAATGG